TTCTCTGAGGAGGAGCGCACCACTGCATCGGGATCACCAATGCCACGGTGCTCAATGCCAGCCTTCCTGATCTTTAGATCTGGAATTTTGGCATCTGGCTTAAATTTAAAAATTGTTCTACCACGCCATTCATAGCCAAGTTGTAGGTCCTTCCATTTTGCCTTGCGCCAATCATCTGTCTTCTTGATTTCTTCTCCTCCTTTCTTCTTCTTGATGATTGTCAGTCGCAAGTCTTCCAGCAAGTCAGTGTCTACAGGACAGGACTTAGTTGCTGGGAAAAGAATTTTTCTGTAATCCTTGTGGTGACGTATCAGTTCTCTCTTGTGAACATCTACTTCCCAGAAATCAACCACAGGATATGCATGCTCAGCTTCACCTTCATCACTATTGTGTTCAACAGAAATATGGCCATATTCATAGTGAGTGAGGTGAGAGTAAAAACTCTTCTCACGCTGAGTCTGCCAACGCACGTCAGACAGATACCATGCAATATCTTGGAAGTCCAACACAAGATGAGTACTGGCTGCAACCTTCAACTCCAAAAATTTGATACCAAGAGGCATCGATGTAAGATAAGCATGTTGAGGTGTCAGCCTGAGTTCAAAGCCTAAGTTCCTCATCTGTGGCAAGCTCATAAGCAAAGGGACTTCTCCTTCTTCCACTATGTCGAACTCTGTATGGTGGATCGTCCATGCACGATCATACATGTAAATCACCAGTTTCTGAGAGCAAGTAGCCTTCTAAGAATTGGCAAAGTAAAACTTGCTCTTGGTAGCCTCAAAAGAGTACCATAATCCACAATCTGGGTGATTGTCGACATAGTTGCAAAAATGGTCGACTGCTCGCCTTGATCCCATAGCTCTAGTGCATCCAATGTCCAGGATTGCAATAGTTGGCGGGAAGCGATTCTCAGTCAAAAATGAAATAGCCTGCATCTCCTTCACTTCTTCCTCAGCGCTCATAAGCGCAAAGCCATCAGCGCTCATAAGCGCAAAGCCATCAGGAGCCTTTGTGAGCATCTCCTTTGACAAAGAGTACCTCACAGGGGCACTCATGTCATCGAAGATCGTCTCACCATTGTTGACCACGCAGTCAGCTTCATCTTGGCATGAGGTCATCATGCCTGACAGCAAGTCCACCTCACTGTCATGGACTTCAGCTGCTGCTGTCACACAATGTGCATAGAAACATTGTTGACCTCCTGATGCTTGTGAAGTTCTTGAAGGTGCAGGTAAAGAACGTGGCTGTTGTTGATTTGCATAGTTTGCATCTTGTTTGCCATCTCCTTTATCCTTTCCTTTTCCTTTCTTGCCTTTTCTCTTGCCTTTTCCTTTTCCTTTGTGGGAAAACCATGCTTCTTCAAGCTGTTGCCAAAAGTCATTGGCGTCATCATATTCTCCTTGAAGATAGTCATTCATATCCTCGGCAAGAATGGCATCATATGCTCCTTGGTTTGACTCCCAAGTGTCCTCATAAGGATTCTCTTCAAGGTATTCATCTGGAAAAGTTGTCTGTTGCTCATCAGCAAAATGGCCTTTACCTCGTCTCTTTCCTTTTCCTTTTCCACGAGGTCTGAAGAATCTGCGGCCTGATCTTCCTTTTCCTTTTCCTTTCTTTCTACCTTTTCCTTTGCCTTTTCTGGCTCTTCTTCCTTGGAATCTCCTTTGGAACCATGAGAAGTTTTGATCATCATATACCCAAAAGACATCGTCCAGGGCATCTAAAAATCCTTCAGTTCCATCTTCTTCATCTTCGGCCCAATAGCCAAATGTACCATCGAGTTCTCCTTCGTCTAATACGAGAAATGATCTTCTACCTCCAGCACCTGTCGGCTGCATCAATGGATTGTCTACTGAAGTCTTTGTCGTGCAGAACATCTCGATGAAAACTGTCCTCAGCTCTGTTGTAGTGTATTGCTGCAGGTACCTGCCACGATGAGTCATCAAAGAAGTCAAAGTGTTTCGCTGGTCCTGAGACAAATCTGCAAGTGACAGCATGAGTAAAGCAATCAGATTTTCTCCTAGAGGAAATTCGTTCTGATGAAGAATTCTCATATTGCCATTGACATTCTGCATGATTTCCTGAATCCTTTCTGCCGTTGGTGCTACTCCAGTCAACGCTGCATCTGCCTGCATCTGAGCAAGGACTTGGGGATGTGCTTGAGTGACTGGTTCTAACATGTCCATCCAACTGCTCATAAGCCTTTGGAGTAAAATCTGGAATCTTGTCATCCATTTCATCATGTCGGCTGATCCTCGATTGAATCGCACGAATTGCATAAACCTGTATAGGAATACATTGGTTGATCCTTTCACGAAATATGGTCGTAGTACTCGTTTGAAGTAATCTACTCCTGCTCCTGGTGGCTCATTAGCCTTCAATGCATCTCTGTCTAATACACGTTTGTATACTGCTGCTTCTCCTTCTAATCTGTTTCTCAAGGCTGGTCCTCTCTTCTCTTCTTCCAGCTCGGTGATATCACACCAATCGTCTATGGCATCCTCATAGGAAAACCATGAAGTCTTTCCATCATAAGATGGGGGCACCTTTGTAGTGACCTGTGTTGTCATTGCTATTGCTGCTGGTTCTCTTCTCACATGCCTATTCACATAGGCTGCTGGCTCATAAGCCACATCCGCATCAGGCTCTTCCCAGTCGTCAATCCAATCCATGGCCGTTTGCCCACAAGCAATTCTATGCCTAGGAAAGGAGCTCACCTGGGTCTTCCAGGATCACAGCTCCGCTACCACTGAAAGAGTGACTAGGGCGTACACGGTAGAGGTGCAGACCGCTAGTGTCTTTTATGCGCAGAGTCTTATCCTCTTGCTCTTTAGGTCCATTGACCCTCTCTTGAGCCTTGTAGCAGTCAAGCATGGACACACTATATCAGCTGTTGGAGTGGAACCCTGTACAGGAGGCTCTACTTTTCAGGGGGCCCCCCCCCCCCTTTCAACTCCACCCTAGCGCGCCTCGGGGTCAACCGTTCGAAAACACTGTAAATATCAGTGTTTTCAGCTCTTCCAGTCCTCAGCAGTGACCAAAAATCATGGAATTTACAGCGTTTTTTGTGGCTGTCCGGCAAAAAACACCGCAAAAACCGATGGTTTTTGATGCGTCTCGGTTAGAAAAATGACCGAAAAAAGACCAAAAACCAGTAAAGATTTTGTCAGAAAGGGTTTTTGAGGCTTTTGGAGGCTTCAAAATTGCACAAAACTATGGTATTTACAGGGTTTTGTGCACCTTCCCGGCAGAAAACGCCGGTATTTACACGGTTTTCTGCGCTTTTCCAGCGCTCAACCGTGGTGCGCCTTTGGATCGACGGCTACAAAATACCGTAAATACCAGTGTTTTCAGCTCCTCCTGTCTTCAAGCGTGGCCTTAGACCTTGCCGCGGCTGTGGATCGACGGCAACGAAACCTCGTAAATACCAGTGTTTTTGAGCACGTCCTGTTTGCAAGCATGGCCTGCGGCCACGCAATTTACAGGGTCGCCGCACGTCACTATGTAAATCCGAAGTTGCATTTGAGAAATATGTGACTCCTTTTGAAGGCACGTCAACCTGTATTGAAACCGCTAGACCGCTACAGCTTCTGGAGGTTTTGTCAAGCGTTTGTGCACTAGTCTTTCTTTCATCACGCTCACTCCTTTCTCTTCAAACAAGTGGGGGGCCTCTCACCTCCTCCCGGATTACGCCTGATTCCCTGCTACCTTTCGTTCACCCCCCTCCTCTCTCAAGTCCTTCAATGCCTCAAATGGTGAGGATTGGAGGTGTTGGTTGGAGTGTCCATGACAGAGGAGATTTGATGCCAGAAAGCCTCCGCATGGAGCATGGGAAGACCCATGTCGTGTCTTCCATGGTCTTCAGTCGAAGTCCAAGGGACGCAGGGACGCAGGGAGAGGTCCATTTCCCAGACATGATGATATAATGGGACGGGAATAGATGCCGCCCTGTTGGAATGGTTGACCCGGGATCAATGTAAGAACCTTACACAAGAGTGTCTGGATTTGGATGCAGCAGCTGCAGTTGTTTTCTTTCCATGTTCTGGGAGGTGACAGTTCAACAGAGTCCACGTTCTCACCGTCCCACGCCTTGTTCTCGCCGGCCATTTGCTCCAGCCTTTCGCTCATGGGTTGCGACTGGGCCAAGCCTGCTCCATCTTACCACGAGGCTCGGCGTCGCCACGACGACATGAAGACGAACCGCCCGGCCGTGCGGAAGGGAGTCATGGTACCTGGAGCTCCGTCAGCCTGGTAGGCTGACTATGTACCGAGATCCATGACCTCCGCAGCCACTGCTCCATCGCTCCACGGCCGGCCGGAACGGTCGCTGCCGCACGGGGTCCGGTCGAACGCATGGGGGATGAATCGACCTCGGTCCTCGGTGCACCAAGACAACTGAGAGAACGCCATACGTTCGAGAACGACATACGCCCATGTTGTAAGAAAGGTCAGAGATATGCCATGGCACTTCTGGCAACAGCGCTCTGTTGTAAGAGGGGGGGTGCTTTTGGCGTCGGCTACTCTCCCGAATTCGTGAGTTGGACCATTGAATTTATCGGACATCTCTTTGCGGACTGTTCGCGTCAGCTACTCGCCCCTGGGAATCAGAGGATTCAGATTCGCCGGGCCAAGTTTACCAATGTATAATACCAAACAAACACCATCTTTTGGGGTGCTGCTGGTGATGGACAATTCTTCATCCTTCCATGTTTGCCAGACCTGGTGATCACAGCTGCTGGATCTCAATTCGTGCCCGGACTCCGTCACGTGCCTGGCGCAGGACATGTCGCACAAGGAGGAAATTGAAGACACCATCAAGAAGCACAAGGCCTCATCGCTAGGATGGTCATAGACCAGACTTGCAAGGAGTTTTGTTGACTGTGACTCCACACATTTGCCTTCCAAGTCGATCTCTTTGGGTCGATGCCGTGAGACATGCCGACCTTTGGCTCCAGCTCTATTCTGACCTTTGAGTCCGAACAGAACCACGCCGACAAGTCATGATGCACTTGGCGGCCACTTTCGCATTCTTTACCGTTGCCTCAGCCAGCTCCAGCTGTGCTGAGGACCCCTCCTCTCCTGCGTGTGCGGCTCGTGCGCGCGAGTTGCTGCAGACGCATGCGGTCAAGGGTATTCAGTTGGAGGCCAGCGCCCTTGGTGTTTTTTCTCGACGACTCATGGAATTGGAGGGAATTGGATGGATCTTCTGTTTTGCTGATCAGGAAAGTGGACCATAGTTTTGATACACCCATCTTCATGTGCCTCCTTGCGCGGCCATCCCTGGCCGCGGCCCTCCCTCCGCCCTCGTATTCTGGCTTCCAAGGCGACCACGCTGATGAGCTTCGAAGCACTCCAGCAACAGGTCGAGGCGTCCTTCAGCCACGCAAATCGCCTGCGAAGCCGTGGGAAGCTCTTGGTGGAGCAGGACCGGATCAGCGGCAGCTCCGGAGGGAATCGAAGCGTGATGACGTGCATCTCCTCGGAATCATCCGCGGGTGTTGGGTTTCAGTGAACACCACCGATGTGGTCGAAGATTTCATTGGTCATCCCACGTTTCAACGTTAGGGGCCATGGTGATTCCAGTGTAGACTTGATTGATGTTTCAACCCCATCTGGATTGTTAAGAGGCAGCCTTCCATTCAGGTCCGATTGCCGCTTGCAGGAACTGTGTCGGATCTCTCGGCGCATCACGGGTCAAGCCCTTGTTGCCTGGGATTTCCCGTTTTCCTATGTTTGCCCTTGTCCTTGATTTTAATTTGTGTGGCCCGGGGAGGGCCTTCATCTTGACCATGTAGTGGAAGCTACTGGTCGTGTCACACTCGATCGTGTGCGCGTGAGGCAGAAGAGGTTTTACAGTCCATGTTTGGGGGATGAGCATGAATCAGGAGCCTACAATTCTACTGACAGTACTGCCCGGGTTGGTTGATAGAGAGAGACCCTGGGAGTCAAAGACTATAAAAAGAATAGTCTTTAGGTGACACGAAGAGGAATGTCCTTTACTTCAGTCAGTCAAAATATGGTCGAACTGGACTTCTAGGGGAGAGAGAGAGAGAGAGAGTAGAAAGTTCAATTCATCCGGTCAAGTGTGCTCTAAGAAAAGTCCTTCCCAGTCAGTGGAGAAGCGTTAACCGAGTTGAGATGTTCATGTTCAACCTTTACTTGGGATGATTTGAACCCACTGACTCACATGTCTTTGTTAGTGAGTTGAAACCACCAAGGAGTAGATGGCCGCTAGGCCTTGGTTGATATACAGAGGGCACAACCCCCAAGTGAACAACCAAGTCTGGTAGATGGTACCAAGAGGGCATCATTGGTCACCACTGCATGAGGCTACGTCCCGGCCCCAACCTCTCTTTTGGAGAACGGATTTGAGTTTCAGCTGGAAGAGTTTAAGCACGTAAACTGGATAGAGAATGCCTAACCAATGAATTGCTGGACTTCATGTTTTTCCCCATGTTGATTGATGATCTGGTCGTGCTTCCCTTCAGTTGCATCCACGCTCCTCCACACCCCAGTGGCGTCACGAACGTCTTCTGGCCGGCGGGGCGGCAGGATTTGCGGCAGCACGCACGAGAGCTGCTGAAGACACGGAGTTACCGGCGTGAGAACACGTGCCTAGAGAAGCCTGATCTTATTAAGAAAAAATGGAAAGGGAAACCAGCACCACCCAAAAGGCTTGTTGTTGGATGTATCTTCAAAGGGGGCTTCTTTGAACCACCCTTTGGGTGGTGCTGGAACCAGGTATGTGTGTTGCCAGCTCTGGGTTGGTGTGGTTCTTCTGTGTTGCCCTACCAGCAACAGATATAGAGAAAGAGAGGCGACTGAGGCCAACGTGTCATCGATATCACTGGAATCCTCCTGGGCCAATTTGGAGGACTCGGAGGACCATGAAGTCAATACCAAACAGGTGGTGAAAGCGATGAACTGAACAATACCCAAACCACTCCGACGTGGCGGCAAAAGTTGTGGGGATGCGTCCCACAAAGCACCAGATCAAAAGGAAGACTGGACAAACAGCAACGAATTCCCAGCAGTTGATTGGATGAAACATGCATACTCAGGGAGGGTCTACAAACCACTCTTTGAGCTTTGCTGGTTAGAATTAATTCTTTGCTTGTGCTGGGGCATTTGAAGCGTCTGAATTGTGCACCGGCTCTAATGAACTTCATGGACTCTTGTATGGCGTTTGGGTGATTCCAGCGGCTGAGCTCCACTTCGCTCGGGAGGAAACCGCGGCGGCTCAGCGCCGCTCCGCGCTCGAGGAATGCAGCCGTTCACTTCAGCCACTTCGTGCAGTCCTCAGGCCTCCACACCGAACTCACCAGTGCGGAGATCACCGCCTTCGAGGAACGTGTCATGGAGGAGCCGAGCTTCGAGCGGAACGTGTTCGAACGCGACCGCGAGAACGACGTGGCACTTGGGGAACTGGAGAAGAAGTCGTTTCATACCTGGCAGACATGGCCCACCTGCCACCCATTTCCTCCTCTTCAATGTAAGAATGACAGCCAAAAGGGTAGACATTTGGCATAGTTGGAGGATCCAGGTGTGGGGAGGGTGGATGGTGCCGGGGACAGCAAGGTGTTTGGGGGGCCTCGTGAGTCTTGGTGTGTTTTGTTATTCTTCCGAGGGAAGACGGGGCCACCTCGTCGCCGTTGTCGTGGTTTATCGCTTCCAAAGTCCGGTTCTGGTGGGTGTCGTAGCGGGGGGGGTCAGTCAGGATCCGGCAGAGGTGAGGATGACTACATGGCATGGATCATTGCTAGTGCTCATACAGTGGGAAAGTTGCTATGTTGAAAGGGTGGTCAAGAACACCCCCACACTTCCATGTTTCTACCCCGAGGTAGAGGGAAAGAAACAAGGCTAACTTCACGCATCTCCAGTTCTTGTTTAAACACCCATAGGTAACTGCCATAGGACTACCTGTTGCCGTAGTTGGTCCAATATACTACTGTTGTTTTAACTGAACTTCACTAACTTGACTGGGGCGCAGCCGTCATCGTTTTCTGGGGCGGACCTTTGGAACCAACGGAGCCGTTTGCCGCACCGGTCTCCGCCCGTGGAGAAGAGTGGCACAGCTGCAGAAGTGCTGCAGAAGTGTCACAGGTCGTTCCGCGGCCGACCGGTCGGTGGCGTTCTGTCCGCGGAGTCCGGCGGATCTTCTTAGCATATATGTACCAGCAGCCGACTCTACAGGTCTCCGAAATGGAGGGTTGTTAGGCTCTAACAGGTTTCAATTGGTGACCTGTTGGAGGGTCCTGGTATACAATCTGTGGACGCGTTTTTTTTGAGGTGGAGGCCCTTGCTATGCTCGGTTGGAGGCCATCGCGACGACCGTAACAAGAAGCTACTAGGGTTTTCTTAGTATGAGTTCAGTTCAAGCTCAAACACAGCCCGGACGACAAAGAACATCTAAATCTACTCCTCAAGAACATCAAGCCCAAGGAAGACCATTGGATTACTTGGAGGTGGACCTTGCTACACTTGCTCAAGCTGTGTGGGCGCTCCTTCATTTGTTTCTCACTGTGTGTGAAGCGCATCTCTTGGTCTTTGCGCTTTGATGCCCAGCTTCTGGGGCGGCAGGAGATGGAGATCATGTGCAAGCACCATGCCATCGACAGCATCCCGGATGCCACCACACAGGCGGCTACCCTTCGGTTGATGCCCCGGTCTCGGTGGCGTTTTCTTGCGTTTTCCATCCAAGAGGGGGGTACTTGATGGAAGTGGGGAGTCCAAAGCAGAAAAGACCATTCATCTTGGAAGATAACAATGGTGCTCACCAAAGAACCATTGATTTACTGAGGATGTTAGACTACAAAACCAGGTCAAGCATTCCTTCAATGGTCTTTGAAGGCTGTACTGTATGCTGTACTGTATGCTTTTGAATGTCTATTCAATGATTTCCAGCATGTGCGAAGCTCTCCACTTAGGGGAATTTCTCGGGCAGCTCCCTTTTCACTTGTGGAGGCCGATGTGTGGATGACGGATTTCCTGCAAAGCTTGCGGGATGAGCAGCCGGTGTTGACCGAGAAGCTCTTCCAGGTCTTGCAGGGCGAGAGCGGCTTCACTCTGGAGTCTCTCTTCTGAAGTGGACGGTTCAACATGTCAACAGGGTCAAGACCCATGTTGAAGTTGACGGTTCTGAGTCTTCCTTCACTCTGGAGTCTCTCATCTGAAGTTGACGGCTTCACTCAGAACCATGTCAGGCTTTTGGTGGGAGGAAGTCGAACCCGAGTTCGCTTCATTCGAGAACGAAGCTCCCAGGAAAAAGTCACGGCGGAGTGGGTTACCACAAGTCCAAAAAACAAAAACGCACCGCGGTCGACGCACGCATGCATGGCATCGATGCGTCCATGCAGGTTCAGTGCTTGGTTGGCCAACTTCTCCCAGATGGATTTGCAGCGGCGCACCGGCATCCAGCACGACAACAGCTCTGTGCATGCGCCACTCGGAGCTGCATGCATGCGCACGCGATGGGAAAAGAGGTCGAATGGTTGCAAGAAGATCTGAGACTTTGAAGAACCTTCAAAGTGGACGTGTTGTGATGGGAAAATGCTTCGACAGGTTCGCTGTCACCTTCTACCTGGGAGTTTGGTGGTTCTTTCTTTTTCTGAAGCCATTGAGGGCTAATGAACTCTTTGTAAAGACCCGGTGACCCGGTTGGGACGCAGGTGACCTTTGGGGGTGGTGCCGCTTGCATACTTCCTTGTGATCCGTTGAAAGCCATGCGATCGGTGACACAAGAACGAATGAGACATCAGAACAAACGAAGATGAAGACACCCCCCAGTAGGCAGTGACCATCGGAGGGATGCACAGTCCACACACAGTTCCCAGTGAGAAAAAAAAAGAAACTTCTCCCACCAAGTGCCACCCCAAACTTGTCACACTTGCCCAAGTTTGTTGGAAGACGTTCTCTTCCATCTTATTCCAAAACCAAGCTTCCCCCCCCAAACCTGGAGCGCTGCCTACCCTCCTTCTTCACCACGCCCCAACCCTCCACACCGCCCCAAACCGCGTGCCCGGCGCGGAGACCCCGCATCCACGCCCGCCAGCGCCGGCCCGGAGGTCCTTCCTCCAGACGGCCAGCATCACCGAGACGATGCGCACGCGCTCCCTGCCAGCCACCTTCGAGGCGCAGGATCAATGGCCCCACTGCCGGGAGATCATCGGACGGATCCACAACCAAGGCCGAGCGCGAGTTGGTCGGAGGGTCTCGGCGTCTCAAGACGACGACGGGCACGAGACGAGGGGTGCTGAATTGAGCACCAAGCAAGCGAAGCAACCGAAGCAAATGAGCTTTTGGAAGGGTAGCAAGGTGTTGGTTTGGTGCGTGTGAATATGCCTGGGAGACGAGGTCCTGTTGAACCGGGAGACCTGATGGAAAAACCTTGCGGATCCTACTACATCCTACCTGGTAAATGTTGTGTTGACATTGAGGGCACACGTTGTACATTGCAATGCATGTGGACGGTGCTAACGTTTTGTGGCATGTGCCACCCGCGTCACGACCAAGTGCGTGTTTGCCGGCCAAAGGTTGAAGCGTTGCTGGTCATATAGGAATATGCATACCGTTGCGCAGCAATGATGTCTTTTGCAAGCGAAACAACAACGAAACAAGGCCAGAGTGTAGTGTTTGCCATCGTGTGCCATTTTGTTCTCAAGTACTGTAAGTGAGTCCCCCCGCCTTTTCTGTTTTGGAATTGAGCCCCATGGAGGGGGATGGAGTGGCGGCGGGGGGGCTTCGAGATGATCGAGATCCCGGACTCCCAGGAAGAGATCATGCGTGAGACCATCCATGAAATGCCCGACAGGCTGCGACAGTTGGCGGCCATGAGGTCTGAAGATGGGCCATTGGCTTTGCATGCGCAGCGCTCGGGATCTCCGACGGAGGTAGTTGACGATAGTGCCACTGAGGAGGCAGATCACGAAATGGTTGTGAGCCCTCTGGTGGCATTGACAAGGATGGTCCATCAAGAAGGGCAAGAGACCGAAGCCAGTGCATGAAGGAGTTGGGGGGCAACATGGAGCTCAGTGCCATTGAGAGCGAGGTGAACAAGCTGACCTACAAGGTGCCGCAGAATCTGCTGACGCCATGGGAAAGAGGCTTCGCAGGGGTGGTGTTGGACAATAGACCGCAGGTCCTCAACGTGAAGCATCTTGATGGCAAGGTGTGGAGGTCTTCGATGATGGAGGGCGTCGTGGAAGAATCCAAACCTGACGAACCACCAGAGAAACTGGGCCCGAGCTTTCGGGGCGGTGGAAGAGGACGCCGTGGGCGACTGCAGAAGTGAGTGATCGTGAGAAGGCACTCACAGTGATCTCCGAGGCTAATAACTCCTGCAGGGCGGCCGCGATGCTGGATGCAGATGGGCCAAGTGTGGTCCGCGACGTGAGGCTTTCATGCCAAAGGCATGCAGCCGTTCCCTCTCAGTGAATCAGTGTGCTATCAATATGTTGACCAACTTGGGAAAGACGGGGCCCCTGCGACTAGAGCAAGCAGCTTCAGAAGCGCGCTGGCATTTTGCAAGGGCACCATCATGTTGGATGGGGTGGACCCAGTTCTCCAGAGTGGGAGAGTATCAGGCTCAGCACACAGGAGCTACCTGACCAAGCGAGTGTTGAGACAACGTGATGCCCTCACAGTGCACCAAGTGGCAACTCTGGAGAATGTGGTCAGCAACTCAGCCCTTCCAATCCAGGATCGTATGTTCGCAGGACAATGTCTGCTCTGTGTGTTCAGCAGGCTCAGGTGGGTTCTTCGAGGGTGGGGCATCAGTGCACAAGACCGATTCCTGGTTGGAAGGGCGAGAAAGATCCTGCCTGTGGTTGGACCAGAAGTTGATGTGACAGGTGTGGAGTGGCCAGCGCACCTACTGAAGTTGAGGAGCATAGCAGGGCTACGTGCATTACCTGGTAGGCCTTTCTTGCCAGGTCTTATTCCGGGGGGTGGTTGGTCACAAGCCAGGTTGTCCACACCTGAAGTGTTAATCTGGTTGTGCCCAGAAGACCTCTCCAACGTAGGTGCTTGCTCGCCCAAGGCAACAGCGTTGTCGTGGATGGCGAAAGCTTCAATCTCAGAGAAACTGAGGTGCCTGATGGGGTATCACATCAAACCGAAGGACCGCAGTGTCATGTTGTAGTCGCTTGAAGCGTTGACTAAAGTGATCTCCGATGTGAGGGAGGGCAGGTTCTGACCTGGCAGAGCAGAAGTGGTCAATGCATGAAGTGAAGTCTCAGGCAGGCGATACTTTTCGACTGGTATGAGACAATGCCGTCTGAAAGTGAAGAGACGCGCGAAGAGTGTCAAGACAGCGAGGACGAGAAGAACCTGGAGGCAATCATGAGATCCACTGTTGGACCACCCAAGAAGTCGAGTAGTGTGTTGTGTGGGCATGGCTTGGCAGGCGCCATTCATCACGGAAGTGTGGTGGAGGGCAAGCTGGCATGCGGCAGACCCATTGGTGCCATGATGTTTAAGTTGGCGGATGAAGTCCATGAGCTGGGCAACCGCTGTAAAGTGTGTGAAGGATACGGTAAGTGACCAGAGCAACTGACAGCGAGAGTGGGCAGTCCAATCATGAATCTTTGGTTGAGAGTAGGCGAACAAAGTAAGTAGGGGAAATGTCGGGAAGTCTGAAGTCTGCGAGTGAATAAGACAGTAAATGGGACCAAGTATGTTTGTGGGCAAGAGTTGGGAGAAGTTCCCATATTGTCGGGCCCAGTGCCGGGAAGTCCGGCCGAGGTCAAGTGGAGCAGGATGGTCCTGCAGATGGAAGCGCCTGCGCCAGGACTGAAGGGGGGGGTTCAGGAGCAGGGGCGTGAGTCGAGCGGTGATGTGTTTTCGGGGTTCTGTGATTTCATCAAGCAGCAAGCTGATGAAAGAGAAGGCGAAGTTGAAAGAACGACTCAAGGAGGCTGAGGCGGCCAAGAAGACCAAGGCCGACAAGCAAGACGAGGAGAAGCCGGCAGCGCCCAAGAAGATGCCGATAAAGATGCCAAGGAGTTGCGGGGGTTGTCTCCAATGAAAAAGGATCTGCTATGGGTATCAAACGGGCACACGCAAGGCTAAGGACGGCAAGCGCGCAAAAGGATTGCACGTATGCATGAAGTGCTAAGCAGGGGCACGGAGCCAATCAGTGCAACAGCGTCAGCACGGCTGAGGCAAAAGTGGAATCAGGATCTGACAAGAGATCTGCAGAGGATCCCGACAACTGTACAAACGCTTTTCCAGCACCCAGGCAAGACCCTGTCTGTCAGAGTGAAAATGTGACCGGCGAAGAGCCGTACACATTTCAGTTGTTTGCAGGGTCGTGCCAACTATCTAAGCGTTTGAAGTTGCATGGTTTTCCTGCAGTTGGTGTAGACCACAAGAATGTAAGAATCGTGTAGGTCCATGTATCTTTTTTGGACTTGTTTGTTTAGTATCGGGAGTGCTAAGCACATCATGGAGAACATCGACCAAGGCAACATGTTCTTCATTCCCATGGCACCGCAGTGCGGTACCGCATCGAGGGCTCGTGATCGACCGATACCGAAGTGGCTGCGGCAAGGAATCCCCTCACCACCACCGGCTTTAAGAAAGGCAAACGCCTGCTGTGCCACCGCAGCCAAAGTCTTCGTGCATGGGCACCAGAACGGTGTTTTTGTGTTCATCGAGAACCCAACAAATAGCTACATCTGGCTAGTTCCTTGTATCGCTGCGCTGTTCGCTTTGGAAGGTGTCTTCTTTACAACTTTCCACTTGTCGCCATCAGCACAAAGGGTGGACAGTCAGCCGCTGAGGCAGAGTACCCATCAGTATTGTGTCAGCAGGCCTCCGCCCAATGGCACGTTGCCGCCGGGAGGCAACCACGAGGACGCCGAGCCATCACTATGCTGCCCGAAGATGGGCACATTGCGAAGCTTCGAATCTCAGACCCTCTCCAGATCAAACAGCAATCTTCGTATCAGGGCGTTCAGTGGATGACCTCCGCTGGGATGGAGGCCAAAGCGGCAGAGGTTTTGGAGCCTAAGAAGGTCCTTTTCCTTGGTGACCGCGTCAAAACCATTGGTTACAAGGACGTGGACCTTGTGAAGGACATTTGTCATGGCTTGAACATCACAAGGGAAAGTCACCGGATGTTTTAGACTTGGTCCGCTCTGGCGTTTCGGTGAGTGAATTCTCGGTGAAGCAGTGTTACGATGGTCTCGCTAGCTGCCGCATGGATGAGGGTCTGTGGCGGTAGCCGCAACAGACAGAGTTGTGTGGTAGATGTCTTGACCTGAAGGCAGGATACAAGCAACTCCCCCTGTCCCCGGAGCAACGCGGTGATTCCTGTTCTGGACCCCAGTGACCAGACCATCAAGTTCTTCACCTCCAACGTACAGGAGCCGAGGGCTGCACCCCCCCCAGACGGCTGGAGGCACTGAGTGATGAACCACCCTGTTTAGTTTTCACCGACGGGGCATACGAAGCAGGCGTAGCCTCGTGCGGCGCAGTTGTTTTCTCACCAAGGTTGCCCAAACCGATGGCCTTTGGGTTCGTGGTAGCAATAGTGGAAGAGTGGCATGCTTTTGGTCATGAGATGATGCCGATGCCGGTAGTGATAGTGAGGAGACAGTTTCGCCAACTGCTGCTAGGGGCCAGGGCTATCTGCTTCGTCGACAACGAAGGCCCGAATGATGCTGACTGAGGCCATGCATGATCCAAGACTCCACTAACAACTGTATGTCGTGGTACACCAGGATTGCCTCCCGAAGTAACGTGGCAGATGCACCATCCAGGTTGAAGTGACTGAGCCAGGCAGCATGTTTGAGTGCATGATAGTTACAGTTGACGTAGATGTTGACTACAAGAGATGGGGTGAGATACAGGTAGCCTAACATCTCTTAAGTCGATGGTTCTTACATGTGATCTACGTAAGTGAAGTTCATTTGTGGATGCACAGTTTTCCTAAATTCAACATGACAGAGATTCTGTCCCGAAAGCATCCCCGCTGTGGAACAAGGAAAGGGGGGAGGGCAAATTGTTTAGGTGTCGAACAAATACTGTTGCGCAGAAATGATGTCTGTTGTAAATTGTAAACGAAACAACAATGAAACGAGGCCAGAGTGTAGTGTTTGCCATCGCTGTGCCACTTTGGTCTCAAGTAAGTGAGTCCCCCTCACCTTTTCTGTTTTGCCCACCCTCACCACCCTCTCCCCAGGTAGTCTGGGGCTTGGGTCGGGGGTCCTCCCAGTGATCGTAGTGATCACATCCTTCCGCAAGTTCAACCTGAAACGTCAGTTGGGTGAGATACGGGTAGCCTAGCATCTCTTAATTCGATGGTTCTTACATGTGATCTACGTAAGTGAAGTTGATTTGTGGATGCACAGTTTTTCCAAGTTCAACATGGCAGAGATTCTGTCCCGACAGCATCCCCGCTGTGGAAAACAAGGGAAGATCGACGGCACATTGTGCAGGTGTCGAAAAATAGAAAATACATACAGTAATGTAATGTACGCACACCTCGACCAATCAAGAGAAGCTCCGGCATTCAGGCCAATGCGGCAGCTGTTGGGATGCTGGGATGATGTTTGAGCAGATGTTTTTCCTTCCTATCGTATAATAATATAGTGTTTGAACTCGATCGATTTGTTCGAGTGGTTTCTTCGAGCGCGGCCCGATGCATATTGGGCACCTGCAGTAGCAGTAATAGTCTTCGTATTCCTCGTAGTTTCTGTGGTGCCCCGAGGCTTCCAACCACCATTATAATGGTCTTTAACCAAAGAACCATTGGTTAAAAGGTTCTACACTACAACACCAGGTCCACCATCTTCTTCATGGTCAACCCTTAAACGATTTTGGTTTCGGGGGTGCGTATTCCTCTCCTAGGCCTTCGGCGCCTCCAGCGCCTTAGACTCCCGCTTGTGCATCGCCACGGGCGGCGTCTTCAACGGTGCGGCGGCGCAGCTGAGCCGAGGCTATGTGGCCTCGTGTGCACCGCCTGGAGGCACAATACTGTGGGTCATGGCACCTGGCAGCCTCGCCCTCTCGTCGACTCAGCCAAAATCGTGGAAAAAAGGACAACCAAGAGTGAGCATCGCAGCAATGGCCTCCAACCTACTATCAAGAGATCCCCATGTGGTGACTTTCTCCACGAAAGAAGAAAAAAAAAACCTTCACCGCGCCGTCAGGCGAAGATGGCTGTGGCGGTGGTTGGTCCTGGTGGGTCTTCGACCTCATGGCCAACAGTGGCGTTCCCACCGGAGGCACCGCGGGCTGCTCGCCCTACTTCGGCCACGGCGATGGCACGGATCACTTCGCGCAGTCGGGCGTGGCACCGCCCTGCCCCACGATGTGTGGCAACAGCGCCTTTGGACGAAGCATCGATGAGGCCAGGGCTGGACGTGGACGGCAAAGGTGGTCGAATTTCGGGAAAGATTTGGGGATGGATTGCATCCAGAAAAAAACGCATGAACGAGGACTTGCTTAGTAGATTCATCCTTGATGAGGACAAATTCAAGCTCGCGACCAGCAACTATATCCAGATCGCCAGCTACAAGCATCCGCCTCTTCTTTGAAGTTGCCTTTGGCAGCGGTGGGCAGCAACCCCACATGTGACATGTGATAGACGTCCTGAAACGGGTTTTCTCATACTCCCAACAAGGACCCAGCGCGGTCGGTCGAGCGGTGGCTGAGCTCGTTTTTCGACATCCCACGGTGTCGCCCCAAACGAAGGACCGAGGAATCGGGGGAGAAGGACTGGAAAAAGATTGCAGGAATGGAACCGGCTTTTGGACGACCTGGATTTGCCTCAGTGGATTTCTGGAATTTGGCATCGGATCTAGGTGAATCCCCTTCTGAACATGTTCATGTTGGGTCTTTTGTCCTGGGACTTGTGAACCCTTCGTAGCGTCCGATCTTTACAATGGTGTTTTCCCGGCTTGGCTCTACGGAGCTGGGGCCCACCGACCGGTAGCTTGCCGCGCAGAGTAGCTCGCGCTGCCCGAGGTTTCCCGCTCGTGTCTACCACTTGGCGCGGGAGGCCATCATGACCGGTGGGCCCATCCCAGCATATCTCTATGCAGACGGCGGTGGCTCGGAGCCGATCTGACCGGTGGTCAGGAACTGGCGCGATCCGTTTCGGACCCCCTCAGGTTGAGGGGGTTCGGGGGCCGTCCGGGGGGGTGTTGGGAGGGACCGGAGAAAAGTCCTGTGAACGGAGCGTTTTGGGGGGGGGGGTCATTTCACTGGAGTGGGGCTTGTGGTTCTGGTCGGGTCCGGGCCTCAAGGTGATGAAGGCTGTTACTATGGCTTCTAGGGGCATTGGATGGGGTTGGTCTCGTTTGAAGCGGATTTGGATTTGGAGTGGACGCCACTCCAGTCCCACCATCAAGGAAAACACTGACCGTTTCCCCATGAATTGGAATGATTCTGGTGCTTTCACGTCTCAACTGGACTCCACACTCTTCCGGCACAACGCGTTGCCACCGACCTGTATCCGCCCAGTCCAGTCCAGCGAGAAGGCGGTCTCTGGAAGCGGAAGTGATCGACCCCAGAAAAGTGGGATGAAGCATGATAAACCGGCCAAACCCTACAAACCAATGACCTCATTTTACTGGAGTTGCTCATGCAAAAACACTATTCAAGAAGGTAAAGGACCAGGTTTTACTGGGTCTTTGGACTTCTAGGGAAAAGTACCTGCAAAGCCTTTTTGTATCTTTCTGTGGGGAGATGGTTTAAAAGCACCCCGCGAAGTGGAAGGGCTGCTGTTAGGCGCGAGAGATGAACGAGTCCGCGAGTTTTGTGTGTGTGGGGGGGAGATATTGTTTCTGTTCTCACTCCCATCGGCGGTTCTTTTGCCAACGAAGTGGAGCTCCGGCCGGGCCGAGGCTTCATGTCCTACACAAGCGGCGTCTACACCCACGCCTGCGACAGTTGGGCCAATCACGCGATCACGGTGATCGGTTGGGGCCCGGACTATTGGCATTGCTTGAACTCATGGGGCGACTGGTGGGGAGACCAGGGGCGCTTCAAGGTGGGCTTGTGCGTCTCTTGGACGAGCGGACTGGGAGGATGGGAGCCTCCAAATCGTCCCGGAGGCGAAGGGCCATCGAGGGGGAATGGGAGTCGGTGCAGAGGCACCTTTAGGTCTTGTGACGTTCGTAGCGTTCAATCGCTCCCGTTCGTAGCGACGGGCTCCAACCTACTTGCGATGGCCTCCAGCTATACAGTAGCTTCTTGTTTATTTTGTGGTTGGGGTTTCTGGGGGTTCTTCTTGTGACCTGGCGTCCATCGAGCCCAAGTCAAGGTCTTGACCGACTTCCAGATCCCCACCACCAGCCTCGCCGGGGACTCGGCGCACTACAGCTTTCCTTTGGAGGGTGAGACCCACACCCCGCAGCAGGGCCTGAACCCTTCGGAGAGCTACACGCACATCGTGCAAGAGGCGTACGCCGCACAGCGCGTTCGGAAGAAAGGAGATAGTCTAGACTCAGCCGCCCCCCCAAGTGGGGGGGTACTTTTGGCAGTCAAGACTGCAATATATACCAGGATCAACATCTACTTATATTTATATGCTCTATCCAAATCTCTTATCATTACACTCATCACGGATCTTGGGAGGTTACATGACTTTCATTAAGGTTTATACACAGATATTTCTCTATTTTCATCTATATTTTGATCATACAAATAAATGATCTTAATTAATGAGCTATTTTATAATGGTATTCTTCTCCAAAAGACATAAACACACCAATCATTGGAACGGGAATTGCAATCTTAATTCTTTTCCTTCTATATTATTTGTCATTGAATTTATGGTCATCTATTATTTACATTCACTTGCACCTGTAGGATGTTATCATAACTTTCACGAACCGATTACCTCTCTTCTTATTATTTTATTGGTGGTTATTAACATGTCTTTCATTATTTTGGCTATAGCCGGTTACCTCGCTTATTAACTCTCAAATCCAGGGTTTTCTTAATCACAAATGCACCATCAGGTTCCAACATCCTGTTTTATTTATTGATGATTTTCTAGACCATTTATCTTGCGACTTTGAAGTCCACAAATGCCTCCATTTCGGAGACCTGTTGGTTTCGGTGCTGGCATAAGTCTAAAGGTTGGACCCGCAACCCACTGCTAACATGCTTTTCTTCGGTCCGACGAGCCCCCCCAATAGCGCTATCCCAGACACGACCTGTCTGGGACTCGGGTGGTGGTAGGGGGGCTCAATTGATCGCCATCTATGGCAGTCCCAGACAGGTCGTGTTTAGGGAATCCGTGACGGTCCCACACGGAGCCGCGAACGGGTGCAGACTCTGGGCGCCGCGAAGACCAAAAGGGCCCCCCCCAATGCCGCCAGGCCCAGGAGGTGTCGCCGCGCACCACGGATCGTCACTGTTTGTGCGCCACCGCGTGTGACACTCACGGCTACGACTTTGGCGTGTTCTGCTGGGTGACGGACACCGTGTGCCAGGCGTGGCACGCGAGAGCCAGAAACCGTTGGTTCCTTTGGGGTTCGACCAGCTGCGGTGTACCGGCAGAGTGTGAGTTGACTGTTACACTACACAGTGTCACAATAGGTTGCTCAGGTGGTCTAGGATTTGTTCATCAGGGTATCCGACAGAAATTGGCTCACATGCTGAACAAAAAAGATCCCCAACCCTACCAGGGCACCAATTGGGGCTACTGCGAATTTCCGCCCAACTTGACTTCCACCACGACGACCACCACCACTACCACTACAACGACCTCCACCACTACCACCACCGCCACGACGACCACCACCACGACGACCACCACCACTACCACCACAACGACCACCACTACGACGACCACCACCACTACCACGACCACCACCACTACCACAAACAGCACTACGGTGACTACGACCGTGTCGGGAAAACCATGGGAGCTGACCATGGGCCCTTGCTCTGTGGACAGCGTCGGATGCATCATGAGCCCCGGATACAGCGCAGACAGCTCCTGAGACTGAGCTTTCGTGGGGGGCACGACGCGGAATTTCCGGTTCGAGTAAACACTCCGAGCAAACTACTACTGCTGCTTCATGCTGCTTCAGTCTAGTCGTGAACCCCCTCAAGTCACGGATTGATGGATGATGGGTGGGGCTTGGGGCAGGGTTCGTAAAGATGATGGGATCAGCCGTTTCTGAATCCCACTCACCCCGCGTGTGGCCCGCACGTGCTTTCGACACGCGCTTTCGACACGTGGGGGCCCGAGGCTACAGCACCTATGACAATCATCAGGACTGCACTTTCGAGGTCAAAGAGCGCGTGAAGATGGAGGTGGAAGACTTCCAGGCGAAACGAACAAACGGTGGTGCACCGGGGAAGCACCTGAAAGGTGCATATGAAGGTGCATGGCTGTGAGCCATTTACATGCAGGGTAGCCATGGGTAGCCATTTATGCTGCAGGTGAAGCAAAAGAGGCCTATAGAGAACTACGCTACTAGGCCCTACTAGGCCATCGCTAGTTCGGTTCGAGGCCATCGCTCTTTGGTTGGAGGCGGGACTCTGGCCCACGTGTTCTTGGAATCGAACTTGACTTCGGTGAGGTGGAAGCGGGCTACGACTTCTTGACCGTGAACGGCGCACAGTACAGTGGCCACACCACACCCCACGGCAAGATCACCGAGCTGGGACAGATCACCTGGTCTTCGGACTATAGCGTGGTCACTGGGCATGAGCGTTTTAGAAGATTCTATTGAGCGGTTCAATCCCTGAAACCATCTCACTCCCTGCTACTCCCTGTTTGCAGTGCTTCCAAAATGAAAGAATGTGGTGCGGAATGCTTGGTGATTCTTCCCTTCCATGGGTGCCCCCCCCTTCACTGTCAGCTCGGGTTCATGCTCCGAGCTGCCGAGGTCATGACGGGCTTCAAGGTTTGCCCCAAGGCCTTAGGCCCCTGCGACTGAGCGGCCGTCGCGGATGCGGTGCAGTAGAGCACGGCTCGGCAGATCTCGACTGGAGCCAAAGTGGCCATGTGGCGAGAAAGCAAAAGCAAAGAGCCAAAGTGGCCATTGCTAGCAGGTTGGAAGCCATCCCTAGTAGGTTGGGGGCCATTGTATTGTTAGTAGGCTGGAGGCCATCGCTATGCTCGGTTGGAGGCCATCGCTACGACCGTAACAAGGAAAGGAGAGACTAGGGTGGTGTCAAGGTCCGTCGTGGATCCGTTTTCACCGTCGTGTTTGTCAAGGATTCCCGCGGACCAGTGGCACGGTGGGGGTGTAGTTTCAGTATCACCTGGAGTTAGTTCCTTGGAAGTCGGAGACTCTAGGTGAACTAGCTTCAAAAGGAGTGAGGGAGAGCTGTTTGGATGTGCTTGGTGGTTATATATCTTTGGATCACCTAAGTGTCTGAAGTGTTTGAACCTAAGTGGTTATCTTTGCTTCGAGTTGGCCGGTTTTGTTTCAGTCGGCATCCCAAACGAAACGGCCACGGCTCCAACGTGGCCGGGTGGCGCCCCCCCTTCCGCCAGTGTTGCAGATGCACATGGGGTGTGCAAGGACGGTTTCGTGGAGAAACGACCTCCAGGAGCATCCGAAAAGGTGTAGGTTCCCTAGATGAACCTAGGTCCGGTGGTCACGTCTTATGCTGCCACGGTAGCGCACCGTTCCGAACGGACCCAGACATGCCCACCCGCCGCAGGTGGTCGTCTTCGCCAAGTCCCCGGGCGGCACCGGCGGCACCGGCGCGAGTGCGAACCTGGCGGGTTTGGACCGGAACTCTTCGGGCAGTTTTGGGGTGAGATTCACCCCGTTCGACTTCCGTTCGACCATTCAAAAACATGGGAACGACCTGGTTCTTGTAGTGGAAAATCCTTATAAATATGCGGGATTCAGCCTATTAAATTGATGGTGGGCCAGGAAGCCTAGGGTCACCCGGCTTTTTCAGGAAAACTGTCAGAGTCATACTAGAGCCTGGAGCTGGCCATTGGACATGTTGGAGTGGTGGAGCAGACGCCGCTCTGGACTGTGGGCGATACCGGATGAGTCGGGAGTCCACTGCTTTAGTAAACGCACACGACCACTTTAAGGCACCTGAGACTGTGTGCCATGTACCTTGAAGTCAACAAAGTCTTGCATTCCTGAGTGGAACATGATCCCCAAGCCATGTTTCTTTGCAGCGTGGCGCACCAATTGGAGCGATAGCTGGCTAAGTTTAGTGATTTGAAGGAACTGGCTTTGAGGGTGGCAGAGAGTGCTATTGAGATCCCACTGTCCAAATCCAAAAGATTCCAAAAGAGAAAACACTGCAGGTTGTGCTTCTCAGCCACGAGAGTTGAAGCTTCCAGGGCGGCAAACTGGAAGTGAAGTCGTTTTCACCAACTCATATTCCCTGCATTTCCCTGTCTACCTCTTAGCTTCTGTCTTTTTCCACCCCGCAGACCGCGAGACCGTCTCGTCTCATTCTCTTCGACCCAGGTCATGGTGCCCCTTCTGCACGGAGGCCTCGATGATCTTGCAATCTCATGGAGTCAAGGACTTGAAGGCTCCACTCCATGCGCGTTACACTGGCGAGCGTGCGAGCGCGGGCTTCGTTGCCTAGCTCAAGCTGGTGGGGGTTCAGTCACTGGAGTCAGTGGATGTGAGATTGAGCCGAGGAACTCTTTTGTTGTCATGCTGCCAGGTGTGTGAAAAATATGCCTTAAGATCCTTAAGGCTTCGTTTGCAAGTGGACGCATTTGCAAGCATGTCACCTGTAATCTGGTAACATCTGGTAATGTAGACTCTTGATTAATAAGCCCCCCTTTGAAGATGATGTTCAATTCAAATGGGGGCGTGTATTACTCAACGAGTCTACATTACAAAGATATACGGGCAAAACCAGGGTGTCACACCTGTATGATCCATCGAGATCACTGCTCTGGACTCGTACTGTCATTTGACGTCCGTCCGACCCCCAGCTCGGCGGCAGGTCGTGGAAGCCGATCACCGGAGGGACGAGCTGGAGTTCATGAACACCCTCAAGGGGATGACCGAACTCAAGGCGTTCCCCCCCGGCGAGTTCCGGTCGCGCGCGCGCGGTCCGCGGAGGCTTTTGGGTTCGGACTGGAGACTGGAGTAGATAGCTGGCCTTATCGACGAACGGAACCAAGCGCTATCGCTACGAGCGGAGCAAGAAGCTTTTAGGTTGGAGGCCCATCGCTCGTAGGTGCGAGGCGACTCAAGGCGCACGGCCGAAGCCGAGCCCCCGTCACCCTCGGTTCCGCCGGGGCGGACCCTGCGGCCACACACCGGTCGGGTTCCCGACCTGTGTTGCTGGATGTTGCACGTTGAATGGTCCTGTTCCAGTCGGATCATCCACATCCAAATCCACCTTCCCATGGGAAGCCCCCAGTCTTGTGAGTTGACACACCAGGCCTGAACCTGTGAGGCATCCAAAAAATCCTGGTTTCGATGGTTCAAGTGAATTCTCCACATCCATGAAGCTGTGTGGTTGCCCTGGCATTTTTGTTAAGTGTCTTTTTGGCATATGTGGGATCATGTGGGCCATGTGTCGGCTGCCGGACGGCCATGCGCCCAGACCGTGCCACAAATCTTCGTGGATGGCAAGATCATTCCAGGCAGTCTTGGGAGGAAGTGGCGGGCAATCATCGGCGGAAGCTGCGGCCCGTTTGGGGCATTTTCATGTGGACCTCCAGTCGGGAAATGCTTGCAGGTGTGCCTTCCCTGTTTTCAAAGGCGGATGGAGGTTGTCTGCGAATTTGAAGAAGAAGTCTCAGCGGTCCCCCCTTCATAGCGCAAACTGTTTGGTGGAAAGGCTTCAATCGCTGGGCATCATATCACGCAGAGGTGTAGAATAGATGGATCCACTATCTACCAGCAGCACTGAAAGGCTGGTTTATGGACACTCCTGACTACGTATATTCCATCCAATAGGTAACCCCCCCCCTCCGTGGTCCTAGTATGCGTCGAATAGAGCCAGAGAGGCCATGTCCCGACTCGCCGCGACGACCTCCGGCCTCGCTCCCTCCTCGCGAGGTGACAAGCCCGGGTGCTTCGACCGGTTGGACGCTCTGCGCGAGAAGGACGAACTGAAGCCCTTGTTGGCCAACGTCGCTGAACTGAAGGGCCGCGGGCACGGCCGAAGCTGCGGCAGTTGGCACGGGAGAGGTTCAGACTCCCCAAAGGGTTCCTCCGCTCCGCAGTCCATCATATATGGCTTTCTCCGGTTTTCTCCGTAGAAGATTCAAAAAAAAAGGAGACCACCGCGACGCGGCGCGACGCGTGGCTAGAAATGTGATTTACAATCTCACCATCCCTCCCCCCCATTCGTTTTTGTGGAGCTTTCTGTACACCATCTCAGGTCTGCCCCCACGTGGATCCCCCGAGGCCGGTGTGGTGGACTCCGAAGTGGATCTGCCCCCGGGCACCTACGACTACGACCTCTTCGTCTTGGGCGGTGGCTCTGGCGGTGCGGCCGCGGCCCTGGAGGCGGCCAGGCGAGGACGGACGGGGCAGGTGGGTGTGGGAAGGAGGTGGAAGGGTGATGTCAGGTGGTGTGCGATGGATGCGATGGTGAGTGACGGGGAGATACAATCTACTGTAGATGGTTCTTAGTTCTACAGGTCTATACATGTGTGATTCGTAACACTCCAGAAGAATCTGGGGAGACAAATTGGAAAGAGCTTTCAAAAAGTGGCTTACTAAAAGTCACTTTTTGGGTCGTTCTAGCACGGCGCGGATCTCACCTCAAACTGCCCGGATCTCACCTCGTCGACCACAACTCCTTCCCCCTGCAATTTGGAGCCAGTGAGTGGCTCATGGCAACGCCAACAGCCTATGAGCCTGTGACTATGACCCTAAAAGTCGAAGACTATAAAAAGAATGGTCTTTAGGGGGGGGCCAAAAGGAACTTCCTTTACATCAGCCGGTCAAAATATAGTCCTTGGACTTCTAGGGATGAGCCCTATGACGTCTGAGAGGCTTACGGAAGATCTCCTTTTGATCTGCCACGGACCACAGCCTCCCTCCCACTGGTTCGGTCCATCTCCAGCACCACCCCCGCGAGGGACAAGTCCAAGCGGGTGGCCGTGGCGGACTTCGTGAAGCCTTCGCCGCAGGGCACCACCTGGGGAGTGGGCGGCACCTGCGTCAACGTGGGTTGCATCCCCAAGAGCCGTGACGTGCACAGGCGATTTCTGCTGGGCGATTTCCGCTGGGTTTGGACCGCGCGCGCGCGCGCCCGGACTCGGGGCCGTGTGGACGCAGTGGTGGCCGTGTGGGGTTTCCCGCGGTTCTTTTTTGGGCAAGGAGAGTTTCCAGTGCATTTGGATGATATTCCGCCGCAAAATAGCTCAGCTTGTCCAAATCCCTCCAGATCATCTTCAACTCGAACTCAGAACGTCCATGAACACACGCGCCCGCCACAAAAAAGCGGCCCAATTCCCTCCATCTTTGCCGAGGAAGTTGATGCACATTGCAGCAACCAAGAAGGAAGAGATCCACGATTTGGCGAGCTATGGTTTTCGGCAGAAGTCCGATGGAGGCACGGAGGTGAGGACAGACGGTCTGGCACTTGTTTTTGGCGAATCGAAGGCCTAGGGCCTGGAAGGTGTTGGGGTCTCTCATTGTGAGACTGAAGCGCACATCTACAACCAGGCAACCTGGAGTTTCCAAAAAGGCTTGCTCCAGCTCGGACAAGCTGGCATCGGCGTTTGACACCACTTGCAAGACAAAAGCCTAGGCAACTGTGACAGGTTGAAAGGGAACGAAGTCGCAATATGACATGCACAAAGTGAGACCAACACCTGGCAAGGGGACTCCAGGTAAGGCATCGCGAACAGAAAGGTGTTGGCTCGGACCGGAGAGGTCCCAGGCCTCGACTGGTCTCTCCAGGCGAGGACCCGAATCGAATAGACCGTGCGTTTTCGGACGCGGATGCGGAGGTTGAGAGGCAAACGGAAGGGTAGACAGTGCAACAGAAATGGACAGAAAGGGTGTTGAAAAAAGTATGTTCTACTAACTTTGAATGGAAGGCCCGGAAACATTTTAATCCTGGGGCTATTGATGGACCTTTCGTGGAATGGTGGGCCAGCAGGAAAATGAACCGCAACAAAAAGACAGAAAACTTCGTGGAAGGTAGTCTTGATGCACTAACTTCGTAAAAGCCATTCTTGCTGAACCCCCTTTCTCCACACACCCTCCATCTCAAAACTTGAGCCCTTCAGATACACACGTTTATACCAGCTTTCTGGGCGATTCGTGCGACCTCTTTGGTCGAGGTGAAGTGCAGCTGACTCACAACTGGCAGGAGATGTGCAGCAGCATCCAAGGTGGGGATGGTGAGGGGTAAGAACGGAGCGCGTGGGTTTCACAATGGTGGAGTGAGTAAGGGAAAGAAAAGGATGTGCCCCTTTTTTGGGCTTGATCCTTTTGCGGTCCTCTATACAGAAGAGATCAAGAAGCATATGGTTTAAGATGGTTAAAGATCTCACTTCGCAAATCAGACCATCACGCTGTTCGAAACTCGTCCTCGGAGCTTCGTGACGTGTGGCACATCGATTCAGTTCCATTCGCCTCGCCGACTTCGGGTTCCCGGCGGCGCTGGCGGTTGGAACGGCGTACTCGGATCCCCCCCGCACCGGCGATGCGCAGAAGAACACGCACCGGCGGGATGCCGGCGGGTATCGCAGGTTACATCAAGAACACCTTGAATCAGGCTCCGGCTGCCAGGGGTGCTTGGGAATGTTGGATTTTACCCCCCACAAAGACGAGAGATGAAAAGACACCAAGGAAGAGGTAGAGATGCCCTGGTGATAGGACACAAACGCTACATCACCACGCCCGCTCCAGTGAATAGACTTTTCGGAATAGTGGATTTGGATGATATAGAATCTTCATCCACTGTCCCGCGCCGCGCTGCTTTTCTGTCCAGCTGGTTGTTGTTAAGCCCGGAAGGAAGCTCCAGTATGCAGCAAGCTCCACCAGCAACCGCTCCCTCGAAGCAAAAGAAAGTGTCGTTCACTCATTGTAGGGAAACCGGCATCAGTTGTGAAGCCAGAAAGGGCCCCATCCATACCACTCCAGAAAGATCAGGAAGTCTTTATGACAGGGGGATGGCATGGTCCCTTGAATAACAATTCCCAAGACTTCCGTTCGACCATGAAAAGAATGGGAGCGGCCTGGTTTTAGTGTAAAATCCCTGTCGTTGATTCGTGATGACCCGCCTATCAATGAAATGGTGGGCCAGGAAGCCGTGCGGGAATGGCCACCAACCTACTAGTCCTCCTAGCGAGGTCTCACCATCAATTCAATGGTGGAAGTCTAGGGATTGGTCCGAATAGCCGGTGTCACGTCCGATGCAGTGCGCCACCACGTCCGATGCGGACGACCCCACGGTCCTCGGACGCGGACCGCCGCGCGCCATCGCGCCCATGGGGCTTCGATGCCGCCAGCGGCTGCGCCGTGTAAAGAGGTGTGGGCAGAGCTTTTGGCGCGAAACCGGACTCGAAAAGGATCCAAAGAAAGGCAAACACTGGAAAAAAAGACGGATGAACAAGTTCAGATCGCAACGCGTTTTGAAGCTTAGAATCAAAGCACCCAAATTGGAGTTGGATGGTGTTCCCATCCAGGCACCCCGACTCCCTTCCGTTCGGGTGCGCACCCCCAGCTCCGTGACGCACCGGCGCGCACACTTCGACGATCTTCGACGCGTCCCGTCGCGACCGAAGACCGAGTCTCGACTTGTCCGTCAGGGCCGTCGTCGAAGCGAAAAGCAATGAGGATGATTTTTGGGATTGGACTTTTGGTTGTTTGGTCGTTGGTGCTTCCCCCGGAGGTTCGTTCCACCCAGCATCGCCACCTGCAAGCATATTGAATGGGGGCACCGTGGGAGACCGTTTCGTCATGGTTTCTCTCTTCCGGGACCGACTCTGAACAGGCAGCTGTATGGCAAAGCAAGGAATTGGAACTATGACGTTTTGCTTACCTTTTCCTGGCCGCACCGAATGCAGCTTGGTCAACAGCCGGACATGGCCGTTGTTTCTATGGTTGATGGCGGGACCCCGTTCCAGCGGTTCAACGATTCTTGCTGTTCAGCGGCCCCTGCGTAAGCGTTGCTTGGTGACTATCCACTGCTGCATGGGTGGATTGACCGAGAATAAGAAAGTTCAAGAGGGTGGAAGCCGCGTGTCCCACTACAGTGTCACCAAAGCAAGTTCAGGTATGCTCGAGTCTACAACTGGGTTCTCGCTGGCCAGTTGCAGTATGTCGACATGAAGAGCAGGAAGGCTGCATTTATCACTGAAACCAAGTTGCCCAAGCTGAAAGCTGGCTCCGTGCGAATGACAGTTCTGTAGCATGTCTATGTTAGGATGGGCTGAGGGAGCTGAGGAGGGTTGCGGCAGCTTTTGTCCCTCAGGTCGGCTGAAGTTGAGCCACACCAGACGTGGCAGTAAGACAACCGAAAGCATGGCTCGAGTAGCACACCATGTTGTATCGTCCTGGTTTGCTACAGGGATTTTCTGATACGCCACATTGAGGAATTGAAAGCCAAGGTTGCAAAACATGGTTGTGATGCTTGTGATTGGTCAAGTGAAGGTGTTGGGCGAAGAATGCGCCAGGTGAGCTTGGCCGACCAAAACAATCCCCAAGAAGAGTCCCGTCCAGTAAAACCGGGGTCAATCGTATGCAAAGTGGGTGTTCTCTACCGACTGTTTCTCTTGTTGCCGGGCGCGGGATTCCTGAACAAAGTGAAGTGTAGAAACTGCCCGTGGGTTCAGAAACTGGGCGCAATGTCGTGTTCCGAGCCCTATCCTTGGCACACTCACATGATCTAACATGGAAGTGGAGTTCACCACCTGATAGAGGAGAATAGTCCTCCAACGGGCCATGCCATCCACTTCCACCATGTGATGTGTTCGTCGGAGTCTATGCGTGGTGAACTGGAAAGCTCCACTAAAGCATACAACTGGCTGCATGGCGGAGGGCCTTACATACAAGAAGGACATACCACACGCATGGCTTTTGCATAGCGGCACGTTTATTCTGGCTCCACTGCTTCATATCACCTGTTCCTTTCTCAGAGTCCCAGAGTTCTCTTCCGTTTTTGACCTCCACCACCTACCCACAACCGGGCCGGCGGGTGGCTAGGGGTGGGCAGGGTGGCGCGCTCGCGGGAGTCGTCGTGCAGAACTGAGTCACCTCCCAAGGTCCGACACGCATCTGTACCACCGGAGCCTTTGGGTTCCAAGTGGCGGCTCGGTCTTGATCCATTGCGGCGACTTCTTGGCCGAATGGGGCCACGCAGAGGAGCACTTCCGGGACTTCTTGGCCTGGCTCCAAGAACAGCCACATGAAATCAAGCTGGTGACCGCAGGCCAGTGAACCGCCCATCGCGATGGGTGGGCACGTGTGTGTATGAAGTGTTTCGGGGAGGGGTGAAGGCGATGGTGCGATGGCACGCATTCATGCAGCCGATCCAGAATTTCCTGGCATTTTGACAGTGGTTGTTTTTGGAAGACATAAAGTGGAGGGCAGTACTGTATTCCGCACCTGGGACCTGCAGTTTGAAAGTCGATGGAGAAGAATGGTACCCCGCAATTGGATTTCTTATGGGATGGTGATTTGCTTTGGGGACCTTACTTGTGCCTACTTATACAGGCACGTTGAAAAGAAAAATGAATCCAACTTCTGATCCAGCACTCCTCGGCTTTTTTCTGCAGAACCTCCCCAGAACCCAGTGCCCACGACCTCCAAGCAACGCGTACGCCCCCCACGCCCAGGGAATCACGACCGAGTGCTGGAAGACTTGGGCCTTCAGCGAGTGGCGGAGCTCTTCCGCGGGGCGGGCGCCCACTTTTTGCATCCGGCGCCTCGGTGTTCGGGTAGAAGGACCCGAGTCGTTCGTCTAGTCCATAGTACTAGGATGGACTAGGATGTACTAGGTACCCCAGCTGAGTAGTGACACGTCTATAATCTGTCTTGGCACCTCCACAGGCATCGGTGAGACCACACGGGAACGATGTTCGTTGGTCCAAACGAATTGGTGGGCCTCGGTCGGTGGGCCGACCGGTCAAAAGTGTCGACCGAAGCACATGGGTTGCGGCAGGAACCGGTTGGCCAAAATCTAAGATGGAAGTGGGAACTGCATTAGTAGCAAGAAGCTACTAGTGGCTCCTGGCCTTACTACTAGGAACTACTAGGAGCAAGGACGCTACTAGGGGCTCCTGGCCTCACTACTAGGAGCATTCTTGCTACTAGTAGCTCCTGGCATTAGCAAAAGCCTCCGGGTCGCCATCGCACTTGAGTAGAACGACCACATCGTGAAGTGACACGATCATTTAGTGCCTGGTCAACGACTTCCTGCAGCTTCTGGCTGGTAAAGGACCGCCCAAATCCCCTCACCAAGTGCTAAATACTTGTACCTTGCGTATCCTTGCGTATCCTTGCATACCTTGTTGGTCCTTTTGGCCTGACACCAGGACCACGACACCCCATCCCCGTCCCCTCACCACGACTTTTCGGTCATTTGCCGGGGAAGTCGCCGAAACGAGAGAGTTGGATGCCAGTTTGCTTTGGGAACCGCCCTCGTGTGACATGAAAAGGGACAGAAGACGGGTCTCATCCACAGAAATGCCCCCCCCCCCCAATCCCAAGCTTTGGGCCTCATTTGGCACATCCAGCAAGCCCAGGACCTGGCTGAAACCGACACGTCGCCGGCGATCGGGTTCCTGCGCGTCGCCGGCGCGCCCTACTCCTTCCGCTCCAACGCGCGCAGTCGGAATGCCGCCTTTCAACTGGAGGAGATCGACGCGGAGGGCGGTCCATGAATGAGTCTGGCGGCCTTAGGGGCGGTCAATGAAGCCAAGCCAGAGGTTTTGTTGTCTCCAAATGAGGAAGGGTCGGAGGCGGAAGGGTTGATTGATCAAGATTCTGCATGATCAAGTTGTGTTCAACTGCCAAAGACCTCCAACTACTATGTAGCACGTAGATCCATGTACATCCCCATTTGATCACCTGATGTCCAGCACACGAGACCCGCAGGACCCGCACGATCAGCGACTGCAGTTTCCCGACTGCGATGTGTTGGCATCTTGCCAGAAGCGCAGTCGAAGATGTGACATGAAAGAGCAGGCCACGAGCCTTTGGGTAGTTGGACGAGCCGACTGGTGGTTTTGGGTTTGGGAGTTTTGGGGGGGGATTTAGTCAACATCCTTCTCAGCAAGAAACTGGCCCAACCTTGAAACTTGCCATTGTCTTTCTTTGCGAAGACCCTACTTACCATCATCGTTGACTTTATCATCACCCTTAATTCCACTGGGCCCTACTGCCCACAGCATTTATTAGTTATATCTTTTTATTTGTGTGCAGTCTTTATTTATATCTTAAGGGCTGATATTATATTATTATCTGTCTTTTATTATATCAGCCCACCTATGGCATTTTATTAACCCATCTTTGCTATTTAAATAATAAAATGCCATATTAATATAAATTGGTGTTGCGGTTCCAACTTACAAGAACTAAAAAGATAAGGGACAAATAATTGCAACACCATATAATAATTAATTGATGGCAGGGTTTTTAATAATAGAAATATCTTAGGGACAATAGATAAAAACCCTGCCAATGAATAAATTATAGACTAGCGAATGACCTGGAAACTATTTTAAATTAAAGTTTCCATCATATGGCATTATAAAGCATGAAAATGAAGAGAGAGACATCCAAAAATCGACAAGGAGGATCACACATTAAGATTTTTGGATGAGGGACAGAGGAAAATAAATGAATAAGAAATGTACTGTCATTTATTTTCCCTACCATCTCTTTATATTTCTTGTTTCTTATTTATATCTATGCCGTTGGCCATATATTATTTTATTTCTTATTTCTTATTTTCATAGCCAACGGCAGGATTATATTATTTATATTATTTATTCCCCCCGTTTATTTATTATATTAAAATATTGCCATGAATTTTAAGTAAACAAAATTCATGGGAGGTCAACTTTAATTTAATTATGTTGACCGGTCAATGGCTAAAACTCGAGGGGTAGAGCTAGCCCGCTGCATCCAGGTAAGAGCTTTATCTCAAGAAATCCTTGACTTTCCTCGGGTTGCATCATTGAAATGTGTCGAGGTGGTGAAAGATTACATACAATTATATAAGCATTCCGGTAGAACCTGAACATTGAGTTGAACATGTGTTGACCGGAATGTGTTGCACAGGAAATGTGTTGTTGCTTTTCACCAGGCAGCTGGAATATCCAAAGATATCCAAAGGCATTGCTCCACTCTCGCCAAGAATGGGTCCAATGGGTCCCAACCCAGGTGCTCTTGTAGGCTGGTGACTGGGATTATCCAGGAGAAATATGGAAAACTATATATATATATATGTGTGTGTGTGTGTCTCAACTGGGTGAAGCATTAGCTGGAGTAAAGCTTGGGCACTACCCCAGAGGTGCCGGCACCGAGACTCCAAAAAGGTAGGCACCGCCAGGCTGTGCGGCTGCAGTTGTACATCAACATGAATTACTTCGAAGCATGTCATCTCGTGCTGTAGCTGTAGTTGTGCTCTGTGCAATGGAACCCGGCCCCCATCCCCAGCCGTAAGACCATGAAAAGTGAAGAGTTTACCCTGGGTTTTGCACCAAATCTCTTGGGTAAAGACCATGTAAAGACCCCGGCTCTCCGGCAAGAACAGACCCTCCAATCCACGCCAGGGAGCCCTCCGGGCCCGCCTACGGCCGACCGCCCAGGTGACCCATGGACCGCTGACGCCGCTCACCGCGAGCGCGAGCGCGAGCTCGGTGCGGTTACACCTCTTCGGACATGAGCATGCGGCTTGGACGGTCCAGCGGGACCGGAGGCAGCGGTGGAAAGCACCATCGTAGTAGCAAGGAACTATAGCAAGAAAGCTACTAGGTTGGAGGCTATGGCCTATTATGGGTGAAGGCGCATCGCAGTTTTTGGCGTGTAACAAGTGCCATCGACGAAACCAAGTGCTGCGAGGGACGAGTCAGAGGGTCGTGCGCAGCGTTCGCGCCGCATCAAAACAGGTCCATGCCAAGCGGGAAGCTGAAACAGAGGAGGGCTTATGAATGAAAGACCGAAACCGAAACTGCCAGGATCACGGAGTGAAAGAGTGGTGATGACCATGTCCAAGAACCACCCCCTTCCGTGGTCCTGGAATTGATGAATTCTATCTAGCTTTTTGCTCTGGAGGGGAGCGATTCGGAGCCGGGGGTATCAGCTCTTCAACAAGGAGAAAAGGAGCTACAGGAAGTTTCCCAGCTCTTTGGCATACTCAGAGCTGCCACTTCGAAAGCCCGGCACCCAGTCCATCCCCAAAGCGCGCCCTTGGGGCTAATGCCCAGGAGTCACATGGAGGGCCTGGGTGGCTCGTCCCAGCCGTGGATGTGGGCTCCCTGAACCTCCCTTCCTAACCTCCCTCCCTTGCGGCCGCGACGTGGGTTCGTGCGGACGTGTCCGTCGCTCGCACCGAGGACGGTTATGGGGTGACCTTCCACCGCGATGGGCGCGTCTCCATCAACGCCGCGCTGTGCAACGACTTCTTCGTGGCCACGCGACGGCCGGTGGTCGTGGACCTCCCGGTCGAGTCGGAGAGTCCGAGAGTCGGAGCGGCCGTGAGCGGCCGTGAGCAGAGGAGCTGGACACAAAAAGAAAACCGTGGAAAGTGGAAGGTGGTGGGAAAGTGGCGGAAAGTGGTAGAAGCTGGAAGAAGCTTAGCAGCTCTTCAAGAAGATCTACTTTTTGGAGTGGCTGATTTGGGGCGAATCTATGGTGATACTGCGGCCGGGAGGTGTCTTTTTCACACTGAGATTAGATGGAAGTGCTCCAACGAGCTGTTGGGTGGTGAGTACCAGCTGAAAAGTCCTCCGAGTGTGTTTACATCCTCATGGTTGGGTAGCCCAAAATGCCTTGTGAGACACCGTTTCTTCCCTGGACCATCTCCATAAGTAGTACCCCTTGGAAGGTGGTGGTGTCCGTTCTTCTTTGTGTTTCTTGGCATCCTTCCATTGCCAAAAAACACGACGCCGGCGACGTTAAGACCGGAAGAAGTGTGTCGGTCTTCCACCCGCATTGGACGGGAGAAGACCGACAGGCACATGGCCTAGATGGATCCAAGACCTGTTTAGGACCACATGGATCGCATCCTGCATTGCAAGTGCCCGTTGGTTGACGCCAGACACTCCGAATCGAAGAAAACAGAGGAGTTTGGGCCAGGAAACGGGTGTTGATCGTGCTATACAGCACTAGGATTCCGTTGTGTGCTAAGCCTTTCTGTGCTGAGAACAATGGCTAGGGGGGGATCAGCCCGTGGAACGCGCTGGCCAGCGCTGGCCTACTTGCGTCCGCCAGGGCCTTCTGGATGGTTTCGAAGCGAACGGCGTGAAGTACTACAACAAGTACGCCACCCTCAAGGAGTGCCACACAAAACATCCGTCGATCCGTCCAACAACCTTTGTCCGTACAACCCCCTCCCCCCCCGGGGACACCGTCCGATGTGGGGACTTCAGCAGGGATGATGCCGCTCTCTCTCTCTCCGGCTCCGTCTCAGCCGGTCCCACCCAGCCAGGGGAAGGGCTCGGGAGATCGATCCATCGACGGGCCGATCCCGCCGCGGCCCGTTCTGCGTGTTCTTGGTGCTTCACCGATGAGCTACATCCGTCCTGGGCCAAGGGAAGACCTGGCTGGCCTGGTCGAGCGGCCTTCATGATCTTTCAAGTGGGGGTCAATGAGATGTCTCAGGCTTTCGAAGCGAAAAGGTGTTCTTTTGAAAGTGAACAATTGGCAAAATATGTTGGGCAACAGATTTTGGAAGTAATTTTGACCCAGAGTCTCATCATCATGACAACAAGATGCATTTAGATGATCAGAAAGGATCATTCCCGTTATAAGCGCACAGGCTCATCGTGCTCTCAAATGCATTGTACTCAATGTTTTGGTGCCGGGGGCCGTAACGATCTGCCATATCCTGGCAATGATTCTACGAAGCCCTGACAAGTGTTGTTCGCAAGCCGGCAGTGCTGACGCCGTGACTTTTCGTTCACCAACTCTGGTGCCAAACGCCCTGGTGCGTTGCTACGCCCCCGCTCCCAACGGTGGCGTGGGCGGCGTGGCAGGACCGGCACACCATCCATTTGGACGACGGCCACTGGAGTTGTGTTCAGAACGTTTGCGTGAGATCAAGAGAAGAAGGGAGAACATCCAGCAGATCGCCCTGGTGTTGCTGATCGGTGCCCCATGGGTGAATATCCTCGAGTTTTGTCCACCTACTTCAAGACATCCAGCTCGTATAGACGAATCTTGCGTAATAGTAAAAAACACCATTTGGATTGTAAACATCCGTCAAATGATGTTCCCAGACGCTCCGTTCACAGCCCGACTGGTCCCTCAAAATCTAGGGATTTGAGACCCCAGACCCCTCTAGAGGATTCGGGTCCGACCTCTCCACAGTTTCGGGCACAGGGTCGCGTTTGGGTTAAAATCGAGATTCTACATGAATTCATCCGATCAGCTGCCACTAGTTCGTACCACTGATCATAGATTTCCACTCCAGTGGTCAATGAGTCATGGCCACTCGAGAGAGGGAGATTCCGTTTTCCCTTCTTTTTGACCCTTTGTTGGGGTGAGTGCCCACCATGCATCACCCTGTTATGTTGCGATGATCAGTAGCACCTATAGTTGGTGGGAGCATTTGGGAGCCGAGGCTTGAAAAGAGGATGAGCATCTTATTTCCTGTCAAAAACATATTTTTAACACTGAAGAGGAACCACCCATGGTAGATACCTCAACTGCAAACTGAGGAACGCCCACTTTGCTCACTGCTTACCAGGTCTGGGGACGAAAAACGTCGCAAGGTCCGTCGTCTTCGCCTCGAGAAGGCGTTTGGAAAGGCCAAACTGGTCCGATGTCGCTGAGGCAAGGGCAACACGGAGACGGTCACTGCACGGTTCATCTTACTGGCCGCCGGTGGGCGCCCCAACAACGGCGGATACCCAGGAGTGGGCAGTGCGGCGTGGTAGGGGGAAGGGTGCATGTGCAGCTAAGGGAGAGAGACTTGGGAAAAGAAGGTCGAACAAGTAGAACCAGTCATTCTGGAACCATCGAAGACGAACAAAGATAAAAATCACATCCCTTGATCCCAAGTCCCAACTTCCAAGTCTTGCGGCACATCGTGCACGTCGTGAGCCACGTGAGCAGTGCAGAGAATCCCTTCAAAAGGATGGATGGGAAACCACCAGAAACCCTTCGGCCACGGCCTTTGGACCGACGCGCAGGAGCGAATGAGCATTGCATTTCGTCGGATGACACTGGGTGGGACGGGCGTGGTTGGAAGAAGACGGGTGCTCGTGGGGCCCACAGCGAGGCCAGGTGAATGGTTGTTGGTGATATGCCAGTTCCAGTGAGTTTCTGGACAAGTCCACATACATTTGCTTTTCTCAAGTGAGGTGTCCAACACATCAAGACCTGCTGTAGGTCTCTCAGCAAGCCGGCACTAGGATGAATCGCGACTGGTTTCCAACACATGAGTGGATAGACTAGGACGCATCGTATCCACTGCTGATCGATCGCTGAAGACATGGGACCGGGCTGTGTGGACAGACAAGAATGGACTGCGAGTTTCTGAGAAAGCTCGCGGGGTCGAAAGCCAGACACAACATCCAAGGGACTGCCATATGACTGCCAATATCAGGTTGGGGTTGAAAAGGGGTCCATGCACACACACACACACATGGTAATTTAGATCTTTCCGGTTTGCACATATAAATCATAAATCTTTGTCCAGTCCGAAGTGTTTGGGAAGTCCCACCAAAACAGGTTTTCTCCCTTTCAGGATCAACTCTTCGAGTCCTTGCTTCCGGCAAAGCGAGCTGCCTTTTTGGGGGCTGTTCAGCAACTCTGTTCTGTCCGACCACCTCTTTTCTGAGACTCGATCCATAACCCTGCATAGGCCCTGTCTTGTGGTACGGTGCCCACATTCGGTTCTGTCCAGCCGGGGGTTTTCCGATCTGTCCGTTGGCTGAGGATGTGTTCTGGCTGAAGGAAGCCCCTGGCAAGACACTGGTGATCGGCGCTGCCTACATCGCCTTGGCCTCCCGGCATATCGTGCCACAGATCTGGGACGGAAGGGATGAGTCCATAAGCTGGTCATCATATATAGGCGCAAGCTACAGGGATACTAATGCCCAGGTTTTGACATGTGTTGACTGATAGGTTTTGGCCGTGCAGGATGAAAATCCAGGCCGTGTGTTTAAACCAAGGGTGTCGACGCTGCTTGGCCCCACTCGTCACTTTGACACCGTCAATTCCTTGGGTTTTGTCGTCGAATGTCATCGAATCCATCCGCCACCGACCCGAAGCAGCCGTTGACCAAGGGACACTCGAAATGAGCTCGCCGCTGCTCCTATGAAACATAATAAGAGAAGAAGAAAGAGAGGGGCACACACCATCAGTTGGATGTTCAGTTTGGTTGAACAATTGTCGGTACCAGGGCATGATGGTTGCTCCACTCGGGGGCCCCGGTGCGATGCGAGTGCTCTTGAGACCCCCCCACCCCTGGGGCGAACAGGAGTGCGCCGGCTTCCTGAACGGCTTGGGTTACGCACCACGGCTGAATGGGAAGTGGAGAAGGGGGCTGGAGATAGGTCAGTCTTACCGGAACAAATATCTGGTTTTGGAGCCACAAGGGGTAGAACGCGAGGCGAGGGGAAGCTCCTCTCCTTGCACTGGATGACCTGTTTGTGCGCAGAAGGTGATTCTTTCATTTCGAGCGGATAAGGGTCCCCATCAACCGTTCTTTCGTCTGTGTGACCGGCCTTCCAATGATGTATCGTCTCCCACAGGCTGCAATCGCCTAGGCCAGAGGTCAACAGGCCAAACAAAGACCCGAAGCTTAAAAAGCCTTGTCAAACCTTAGATGGCCTGACCTATGCCCTTGGTTGGTTGACTCATAGGGGGGGATGCCCCCAATCGTGCACCACCAATAGCTTTGTGGTCCCCGGCATGTTTCAGCCCTCTATTCCCAAGTCAGGCCTCTGGGGAAGGGGGAGAGAAGGAGGAGTCACCCGCTGGAACCCGGAAGGACACGACGGTGATGGTGCGCTCCATGCTGCTGCGCGGCTTCGACCGCGAATGCGTGGACAAGATCGACGCCTACATGCAGAAGGCCGGCGTGTCAAGTGCCACACCGGACGTCGAAAGGTGAAGAAAGTGCTCTGCAGTGAGGAAGTTCTAAGTTCGTTGATGGGGGGGCGAAAGTTCCAAGGACTGGTTTTGGCATGAACGTGGTTTTGGCATGGTTTTGTTGCAGAGATTGTGTTTGTATAACTATTTAATAAAAGATGGCAGAAGGTCCAGCTGTCAGGACTCTTACCAAGTGCCAAGTTCGTGAAAAAGGGGTGAATCTGTTTTGCTCCGACGGGGTTGGCTGCCTGCGCCGAACAAAACACAGGGTCCTACTGCATGTTTGGAATGTTTGATGGCCGTACTCCCCTCAAGGCTGAACCGTCCGCGTTCCGCCCGTTTGAACCATCCGCGGCCGGTCGAACGCTTGGCCGTCGGCTTCGACGGCTGACCGGTTCGGTAGCGAAGAGGTGAAAGGGACGTAGGACCCGACTCGACAGGTCCGTTCGACCTGAGGGTCACCCAAGCCTCAACGTTCGCCTGGCGAGGGTGCTATGGGGATGAATGGGATGAATCCCACTCCGAAGCGGGGGGCCCTTCCCTTCCAACCAGGGCCGGTCGCCACACGTTCAGCAGGTTGGCGTGAAGTTTCTGCGCGGCTGTGTGCCGGAAGCTTGGAAAAAAGGCGAAATTAGATCCGTGATTTTTCCAGGTGACACGTCGTAGCAGCTGAATGTGCCAAACTTGGATGACGCGTATGACGCTCATGTACTATTATATAGCGCCAAGGTGCGTTGGATTGGCGTTAGTTTCCCCAAACAGTGCGGTCAGACTTGTGGTTCTTACGATAGTGGTCAAGGGCTGGGGAGGGTGCTTGAACGGAGGGTGCTCACCGCCTATTTCGCTGCCAGTTACAGCACATTCCTGCCTGGATTCCGCTTTTCAAGGATGCCTCGCATGAAAAGTGTTCCGAGAGAGGTCTGGTTCTGGACTCTGTGGTGCAGTGCGCATTGTTCTCACTTGGTGGACACTTTTCGTGGCAGGGGATTCATGAGCGTGTCTCTGGCTGGGATTGCGAAACACGAGTCGCCCCAAACGGTTTTCTTCCAGGTTCGCAGGTTCCACTCATCACCTCCGGATCCTGTTTGTGCCCTTCACCGAGCTCGAGTTTCCTGCGTTTGGTGGCTTAACCCGCTGAGGATCGCTTTGAGAAGGGAAGCAGCAAGAAGGCAGGGGGGACGGGAGCGCCATCTGGGGTAGGGAGAGGTCGGTGAAGGGTGAACCTGCCCAAAAAGGACTTCGGCACAAAGCCACATCTTCCAAATCCCTGGGGCCCCTTTTCGGCCCCGGGACGAAGAAACGACGTGTTGAACGAACGTGGCGTCAGGGATCAGCAAAAGAGGTCAAAACCAACCGACGACGGTGTGATTCCTTTCTCTCGCACCAACCGAGGTGAAGTGCATTTGGAAAGTGGCTGGCGAGGAGCGGCAGCCGGCAGACAGCCATTTAACGTTGGCGGCTCAAGGTCAACAAAATCAATGCGTGTTCGGGATCTCAGGCTATTAACAGAAAAAAACGCCTTTAAAACGCAACTTTAACCTGGAAGTATATACTATGGTTTGCTGCAGTGACGCTTGGACATACAAGCTCACCTCCACAGTCCAGCCGCCAAAAAGGGGTTTAAGAGCGGCCCAGCCTTCCAATACTCAGACACCCTGCTTGTGTGTTGGAAGGAATTTCAAATCTAAACCCTTAAGCACCCCAAAAAAGAATTGGCCACTTCAGGCTGAAGCGCAGCGGGTATTTAAAACAAGGCCCCAAGAGTTCCTATAGGTCCTGAGGCATCGTTAGACCAGAAAGTTTGTCCAAATGATTGGGTCTCTTTCGTCGCTCGGAGAAGAGCGGGGGCCATACCCTTTGATCTCCCTCTTGGAAGAAAATGAATTATCCCGGCCAGAGTGTGTGTGAGGTCTAATTAGAGGTGTAGCAGCAGAAAGTCTAAGAGATCACACACTCATGGATATGCGTACTGATATGAATGCGGTGCCACTCGCC